CAAATTAATTGTGGCAGACCCTGACTTACAAAACGTGCAGCAAACCCACGGTGCGGAATTGAGCCTGAAAATGGAATGCTACAAACTGAGCCAGGCTGAGCAAATTGTACCCAAAGGGTGGTTCATCCTCCCGACGTGAAAGGTGCTATATAAATGCAATTTATGCTTATTGAACAAAGAAATCTGATGGCTTCAGTTCATCAGCAAGATTGTGGTTAAATAAGAGCTCAGAGAAAGAGATAATACAGATCAGAAGCAAAAGAATTATTGGCAGAGTTAGGGGAGAGACTGGAGGAATTTCTTCACTCAGAGGCTTGACAGGGTGTATAAACCATTACCATAAATGCCTGCTTAGGATGAATTAATAGAATTGTTCTAAAGGGAATTGGATACACAGCTGAGCAATTAAGGGGAAGCTGTTAAATGGGATTAATAAAGGGGGATAATGCAGGGGTGGCACTAACATGAAATCCCATTTCTGTTAATGTAGGTAATGCTTACACTCCATTCAGATGCTAATCCCTTCAAACCACAGAACCTCCCTATCTCTGACATGGATGTACCTCATACTACCTGCTTGCTTTGCTCTCAGGTAGCCTATGTCTCTCTACTCCTAAGATGTTCCCTTCTTACTGGTTTGAATTTAGTGGACTTTCCAATAGGTGCTGTGAGTACCCTGGGCAGCCTCAGGAACCACATCCACTGTTACTGGGGTGCGGTTCCAGGGTTTGGCTGCCCTCTCGGCAGCCTCTGCCCAATTAGCCAATATTTCCTCAGATACTGAAAGGTGTCCACTCACTTCCTAGCTATTTGTGGGATGCAGCTGTGTATGCAAATTGGCTGCTGCATTCATCTATGAAATACACAGTTACTTGCGCTTTGAGACATCTCGCCAACTTGATAAGATGATCATTAATATTACTTAATTCGAGCACTTCCTCTAAGATACATAACAAAATCCATACAATTCCAACACATTGCAGGAAAAATGTGAGAACAAGCATGATGAAGACCACAATGACAAAATCATTCCACTGAATTGGAACCTGCTCCCACTTGTTACACATAGTAGGGCAAAGTGCTGTATCCCTGGCTTTAACATAGCTCCATGGCCTTACGGCATCCAGATTCACTTCATGGCTGTTTTGGAACATTGCAGTGTGCAAACTGGTTGCTGTGTTCACCTTCAAAACAGACAATCACTGCACAATACTTTACACGGTGCTTTGAGACATCCTCCTGACATGAAAGGCGCTATATCAAATGCAAGAATTGTTAATATGCAACCTATGGTGTTCCCCGGAGCAGAGAGAGGACATTGTGGGTTCAGTGTAATGATGGCCAGTGTGGACGCCTTTCAGTAGACACCAACATTCTCTCAACCCATTCTCCCCCACTTGCCCCCTCTTTATCCCACCTGAATTTCAGGGCAGACACCAGGAGGTTATTCTTTAGCAGAGGGTAGGTAATTACTGAAACAGATTGCAAGGAAAGGTGATTAAAGCCAGGACACTGGGACTCTTAAAAAACAGTTTGTTGCTGTAATGGGGGACTGTGCGTGTCCTAGATCAGATGGGCTGAAGAGCCTTTTTTATCCAGACCAATCTTGTGATTTTATGAAACGAAAATCCTAATTTGTATTCCATGTGCATCTATCCCCCTCCCTCTCCCACCATCAACCCCTCCCCCCCACCCACCCACCCACCGCCAGCATCACCCTTAACAGAACAGAATTCCACTGCCCTCGCACGCCCAGCACTCCACATGATCTGTACAAAACAGCGGCTGTGTGGTGCCCGCCCTGGGGGTTACAACAGTGTGTCAGTCACGTGGCCTGGTGACATCTCCAGTCAAGCACATAATCCTGGACAGCAGCCAAGAGGAGCTCTTGCAAACAGATTTTGATTGCTGACAGGCTGACAAACACTTTTGACATTCCGATAAAAGATTAGATATTTGCTTTGATTGCTTTGTTGCGTTCAATTTCAATGATGTTGCGGTTCCCTCAAAATGTCTTTAATTGTATTGTTTTGGGAGCTGCAATAAAATAATCTTTGCAATTGATATAGCGCTTTATCATGTCTTCAAGACGTCCCAAAGTACTTCACAGAATATGCTGTAAAGTGAATTGGCATATTTTGTGGGCATATATTTTGTGAGCTATATTTTAGCTATCACTTTTGTGTTGTCATTCATTCTGGCTTCCCTGTTTAGCTTTTAGGTTTGTGTAATGTGAACCTGGAATCATTTTCTTGATTTTAAAACATAATCTAAGACAGGCGTTCTCAAACTTTGTCATAGCGAGCCACCCTATGCTAAGAAAAAAAACAATCGTGCCTCAATATACGGAAGACAAAATGTCTTTCTGCCCATATCGCTTGGTCCTTCCACAGACAATGTTCCACCGTAAGTTCCACCTTCATCTAATCACTTCAGGAAAAAATTCTTGTCTGAGTACTCCTTAATCTGCAAAACTATTTCACCAAAACTGCAGATTATCTATCCATTCCATCATATCCGCTGTTGAATGTCAACTGCTTTTGCCCCAGTCAATCTTACCCATCCTCCCCATACACAGAACTGGTGGAGTCCTGTAGCTCAGTGGTTAGAGCACTCGCTTTGCAAGCGAGAGACCTGAGTTCAATTCCAGGCAGAGCGAAACCTTGGGCAAGTTTCCTTACTCCACACAGAGCCTAATAATAATCCCTTCAAAACCAAAAACAATAATAAAAATTGGTCATTTTCAATCTACGACTGTTTGTGGGACATTGCTGTGCGCAATTGCTGCCGCGTTTCGCCCACAAATATACAGTCAATTCACTTTACAGTGTGTTCTGTGAAGCGCTTTGGGACGTCCTCCCGATGTGAAAAGCGCTATATTAAATGCAAGGATTATTATTATAACTGAAAATTCTTACCTGTGAGGAAGAATTCAGCTGAATTCAATATATGCCTCCCCTGGCGCAGGCCCACACCTCCTGGGGAGGGAGGTACCCCATAGATCGAGACCCTCTCATCAAAGATGATGCTCCAGTGCAGTGCTGGGGGAGCACCGCATTGTCCAATAAAGATCTATTGAAAAAGGGAAGAGAGTTTCTCTCTCCCGGTGTCCTGGCCAACAATCCACCAGATAAAATCGGTCATTTACTTCATGGCTGTTTGTGGGACATTGCTGTGCACAAATTGGCTGCCGGATTCGCTCACAAGATACGCAGTCAATACACTTTACAGCAAATCACGTGAAAGGTTTGAGACGTCCTCCTGATGTGAAAGGCGCTGTATCAAATCCAGATTTATTATTATAAATACCATTGAAACATCCAGAAAGTCACTGGACTGGACAGTGAGGGGCTTTGAGGGCTGCTGACTGGTCAAGTGTGACTGGATTAATAATTTATCTCAAATGTAGAACCTCCTTGCAGTCTGAGCTCCACTATGGTAGATCTCACCACATTATCTTGCTCCACAGATCCAGTGAGGGAATCGCCACAAAGCCAAGGATGAATGTCTGCAGAGAACCGGTTTGTGCCCTTCACGTAAAGGTCAAAGGATGAGATATGGGCATAGAAAAATACTAATGGAACATCTCTGCACAGCAAAGAGACAGTTCATCCTTCAACCTTATCCATTCAATGGTGCAGATTTTTATCCTGAACTCACTGGTAAGTGCACTTCAATAACTATGGTAAAGCAGAGGACTCTGAGCTCAGTCTTTGGCTGGTTTTCCAGTGCAGTGCTGGGGGTAACGCTGCATTGTTGGGAGTGCTATCTTTTGGATGAGACTAAGTCTATTCTAGTGGATGTTAAAGATCCCATGGCACTATTGGAAAAGAGAAGCAAGTTTCTCCCTCCCGGTGTCCTGTCCCAGATAGAATTGGTCACTCACTTCATGGCTGTTTGTGGGACGTTGCTATGTGTTAAATCAGCTGTGCTTTTGACTACAAAACACACAGTCACTAAATTATATCTTGTAAAGCATTTAAGATACTCTCCTGATATGAAAGGCGCTGTGTTAGATATAAGGATTATTATTATTATTAAAGCAGATCAGTTTCCTTTGTGACTGTCAATGGCTCATTTCTATTTTACGTTGAGTAGTCACTCAATGTGAGTACTTGTGTTTCAGTGTCCCATTTTCCATTTGTTATGGTGCATAAACAGCACAAACAATGGCAAAAAGTGTAGCAAATAGTATGGAATGATATGCATTAACATCCATTGGTATAAATCTGCATAGTTTAGCATCATAATGTTGTTTGCCTTATTCAGATTTCAAACTTTCAATGATATATGCATAATCTCTTACAAAATACCACAGATGATTTCCAGCATCTGCAGTATTTTGCGTTTTTTTTATGCATACTCTCTTGTGTGTTTAAAAGGGAGTCTTTCATGCTCTGTATTGGACAAGCGGTTTAATATGTTAAGAATGCTAAGTGGCACCCAGTGACCTTCGGATTTTGCCATCCAGAAAAATTGCTTTGCATTTTGTATTGTGCTTAGTTTCTGTATTTGAGCTCACTGTCTAGGCTGACGCTCCAATGCAATGCTAGGGGGGAGCATTGCATTGTTGAACTTTGGATGCATAGTTAAACTGAGGTCCCATCTATACCTGTTCCCGTGGCTGGTTATTGGAAAAGAAAAGGGAGTTTCTCTCTCCCGGTGTCCTGACCGACAATCACCCAGATAAAATGAGTTGTTTACATCAGGGTGATCCAAATGGTGGCCGATGTGCCGATTTCATCTGCTCCCCCACCCTCCCCCCTCGTTTCATCTGGTCCAACCTTTCCCTCCGTAACCCGTAAATGTTATGTTATGGTTCCGGAAGGGAAACACCAAAAAAATTGCTTCTACGACATTTCTCAAATAAGGCAACTGGCCCCCGGCAAAAGATTGGACCACCCGGAGGCTGTTGGTGTGACATTGCCGTGCACAAATTAGCTGCCACATTTACCTACAAAACACTCAGTCACTTTGCAGAAAACCCCTCAGACATTTTGCCGTGAAAATGGTTTTGCATGGTTTTATTGGTGAATTACAACAATTTTGTTGAACACAATTCCAAAAATCCATGACAAGGTTAGGGAAGAAAATTTCGCAGTAGATATCACAACTTACCTCCACATATTTGCTGAACTACCACAAGAAAATAAAACATGTTTTGCCCAAAACGAACCAGCCTTCTTGCTGATCTCTCATACCTCTTCTCGAATTATCCATTACACACTTTGCACTTCACTTCACATAAATCTTGGCAAATTGCAACTTTACAACAACTATTCAGCATCTAACTGGTTCTTGCTAATTTTCAGTACCATTTCTCTGATATTGGGCTGTGACGGACACTTTAAACACTGTGGCCACACAATCATGAAAGACAGACTTCAACTCTTGTGGGCTTGAAAACCAGCGTGAATCCCTATCCTAAAATGTACCTGATTCTGATCAATGCTACTCCTTTTAAGCTATTCTGAAGTCAGTTACCAGTGTGCTTGGTAACTTTGTCACTAGTTTGGTGTCCACAGTGGGAATGCACATAAGTCGTGCTGCTCCCTAGAGCAGGCTTGGCCCTGATACTGAGAAAAGCCATCTACAATGTCAAAGACATCCTCTTAAAGCTAAAGTTACTTTACTCCTGAGCAATTCTCAGGAAATAGACCATGAGTGTCAAACCATGGGGAGGGGGCTCTAAAGTTGTTCAGTGGGATTCTGTAATAAGCAATCCAAATTGTTGAAGTGGTAATGCTCTCTTGCAAAGCATCACACAAGTCGCACAGGAATTCTGCCCTGGTGTGGCTCAACTGATGGCATTGGGAATGGGTTAAGTGAGCCAGTTATGAAATACCGCAATTTAGCCCCCTCCTCCCACCCTGCCCCACGCCCAGGCTCCATCCCCTCGTTTCTCACTGTAAATGTCCACTGTGAAGCACCCTGAGACATTATCTTACGTGAAGGGCAGTATATAAATGCAGGTTCTTAAATTCAGCAGTGCGTTGCCACTGAGGTGTAAGTGGAGAGCTCGCGGTGGATTGTGCTGAATGGCGAGAGTTCTAGCTCGGTGGTGAACTCATTGTCGTTATCATCACTGGTCACGGTGGAGGCTCTGGGCGCACACTCCTCACAGCAGCAGCAGCAGCAGTCCATGAAGGCTCGGCCAAAGGGCCGGCACAGGCAGAAGAGCAGCACAGGGGTCACACAGGACTTGAAGAATAGTAGGAACTGGCTGATGAGCTGCAGAAGGTCCATCGTCTGCCTGGAGATGCCGGTGGCCATGTAGGCGGTCACTATGTTGCAGATGTTCTCTGGGACGATGCAGAAGCCGTAGAGAATGGTCAGGGCTACCACTGTGCAGTTCATCTGGCTCTCCAGCTGGACCTGGCGCTTGTTCCCCCGGACGCAGGACTTCTCAGCCTTGCGGATCTTGTGTGCGGTCACCACAGAGCTGGCGATGGTAAAGAGGGTGGGAAGGCAGAAGTAACAGCCGAAGTACCACCACATGCGGGCACTGTCGTACGTCAGCGCCAGGACGTAGATGGTGTCCGGCAGCTCGGCCGATATCTTGACCTCGCAGCGGTGGGTGTCGGGGTCGCCGTTCCCCTCCGTCACCAGCTGGCGCAGGGCCACCTCGGGCAGTGCCAGCAGCAACGCCCCCACCCAGATGACGGCTAGTTTGGCAGTGGTGGATGAGCAGTTCTCAATCATCTCATAGTACATCTGCACATTGGTGGCCGCCCGGAAGCGATCGATACACAGCGCGCAAAGCGTGAAGGTGGTCACTCCCAGCGAAGAGACCTGTGGACATACACAAACAAAAGGGTAACGCGAATAACACACCCACAGAACTTAAGCAATTTGCAGCACAGAAGAAGGCCTTTGAGCCCATCGTGTCTGTGCCAGTTCCCTCAAGAGTAATCCTTTCAGTCCCACTAATCGGCCTCTTCTCCCACACCCCTGTAGCTGACTTTTTTAAGGTATTTGTCTGGCTCCCTCCTCGCAGCCAATATGAATTTTGCCTCAACTACCACTCCCAGCAGGGCATTCATGAAAAAAAAATCACAGGATATCCTGTGAAGTGGAGTGACCCTATATTTTGTGGATGAATGCAGCAGCCAATTTTGTCAGCCAATTTATGCACAGCAGTATCCCAAAAACCAGCCATGAAGTGACACAGCCCCAAAACGGTGCATCTGTCAATGCAGCACTCCCCCCCAGCACTGTGTTAGAGGGTTGGTCTAGACTGTGATGTCAACATCCCCGACATGGGGCTTGAACCCACAACCTTCTGACTCAGAGATGAACACGATACTGACTCAGCCAGGCTGCCTGGCACTGGGGCTTCCATCCGAACTCCCAGATTCTCATTAGGAGAGAACGTTTTGTGCTAATTTACCACTTTCCTTTGAGCTCACAATCCAAGCTGATACTCCAACGCAGTGCTGGGGGAAGCACTGCATTGTCAGAGGTGCCGGCCTTCAGATGAGACGCAAACCGAGGTTCTGCCTGTTCAGGTGGACGATGAAGGTCCCACGCCACTAATGGAAAAGAGAAGCGAGTTTCTCTCTCTCAGGGTCCTGGCCACCAATTGGTCATTCAGTACATGGCTGTTTGTGGGTCATTGCTGTGTGCAAACTGGCTGTAACATTTACCTACAAAATACACAGTATATTCTATGAAGTACTTTGAGACCTTTCAAAGATATGATAAAGTGCTGGATCAAATGCAAGGATTTATAATTATTATCAGGGAGAGGGAACCCCGGTTGATTTCCACTCCCTTTCCAGGTGCTGGGACCTGCTGCAGTCCTGGCAGAGAGCAGCCACAGAGACAGAACCTTAACATTTCGTACAGTTTGGCAACCCACTAACTAATCTCTACTGCTGTCTAGAAAATAAGTGTTGTGGTCTGTACCCCGACAGTTCATCGGCTTTGTGAATAACTCCGCCTCCCTGAAAGCTGTAGCTGGTTTCTCATACTTTCTGAATAAAATATTTCCAAATCATCCTTTTTTAAAAAATAATTTAGATAGTCTTAGGGGGACGACTTCCCTCCCTCCCTCCCTCCCCCCTCACCCCCCCACCCCCGTCTTATATTCTGGCTTCATCCAAGTTAAACACCAAAATAATAGTCCTAATAATTAAAAGTAATAATCTTTTATGTGATTGCTTTTCACATAAGGAGGATAATAATAATCCTTGCATTTTGATATAGTGCTTTTCACGTCTTCTAGACGTCTCAAAGCGCTTCACAGAATATGCTGTAAACGCTGAATTGACTGTATATTTGTGGGCGAAACGGATGTCTCAAAGCGACTAGCAGGATTTACTGTATAGTGGCTCTATTTTTTGGGGTAAATGCGGCAGCCAATTTGCCAGGGGCAACGTTCCACAAACAGCCATGAAGTACAATTTTATGTACAGCAATGTTGACCAGCTCACCAGGAGAGAGAAACACCTTCTTTTCCAATAGTACCGCAGGATCTTTAAGGTACCCTGAACAGGCACAGACAGGAACTTGGTTTAACATCTCATACCAACGACAGCACCTCCCACAATGCTCCCCGGCTCTCTATTGGAGTGTCGGCCTGGCCTGTGAGCTCAAAATAAATGTAACACTGTTTCTTGGATCTACTTTGGGTGGCTAGGAATGTAAACTACATTATAAGCCTGCAACACAGTGAGTTGGTAGGTTGTGTAGGAGTGCTGAATGCAGTACAAAGAAGAATCACTAGGATGTTGCCTGGAATAGGGAAATGCAGTTAGCGGGAAAGGCATAGTAGACTGGAGATTTTCTTTGGAGCTCAGATGGCTGAGTAGACATGATAGAGGTGTGTCAGATGATGGGAGGCTGAGATAGGATGAATAGGGAAAGATTACTTCCTGTGGACAAGGGGTCTAGAAAGAGAGTGTGTTGTTTTAGAATCAGAATTGGGAGTCCAGAATGGAGATTAGGAGGAACTTTTCCACATAGAGAGTGATTTGAGTGTGGAATTCGCTGCCAGCTTGTTGGTGTGTACTGGGACATGGCATCTTTAACATCTACCTGAATGGGCAGACGGTTTAACGTCTCAACCGAAGGATGCCATCTCCAACAATGCAGCGCTCTCCCATTCACTTGTCTGTTTGCGGGACATTGCTGCACCATGTGCACATTCAAAAAAGCCTGGAGATGTGATTATGAGAATATAAAGTTGAGGGATATGCGGGAAAGCTGAGATATAGGACTAGGGATAGGATCTAGGACAGGCAATGGTTTGGATTGGATGGGCTGAATGGCCTGTTTCTGAACTGGACCTTCTATGAGTCTATGAATCTAGAACAGCTTCCCATGAAGAAAAACGCATTGGAAAATGAGCAAAAGACCAGAGTTGAGAGAGAGTACAGACAAGAGAATAGCTGGGATAAGATAAATAATAATAATCCTGGCACTTGATATAGTCCCTTTCACAGGATTTAATTTGAAGTTTTGTGATTGTATATTATGGTCGAATGGCGGCAGCCAATTTGCACATTGTAACATCCCCCAAACAGCCACAAAGTGAATGGAGGAACACTGTATTGCAGAAGTGCCGTTCTTTAGATGAGACATTAAACGAAAGTCCCATCTGTGCCTGTTCAGCCGGTCGTTAAATATCCCATGGCACAACTCAAAAAGAGAAGGAGTTTCTTCCGGTGTGCTGGATAATCTCTCAGATACAATGAATAATTTTATGGCTGTTTGTACAAATCAGCTGCTACATTCACCGACAAAATACACCATCACTTCACTTTACAGTAAATCCTTGAAGTGCCTTGAGACTTATGAATGACATGATAAGGGACTGTATCAAATACAATGATTAGTATTTAATATTATTATGACAAGGACGTATAGATGGTGAACCACACAGTTGTGAATGGCTACAAGATGACATGCTGGGCAACGGAACATCAGAATCGAGTCTGTCTTCTATTACGGTCTCCAGTCCAGTTCCTGAGCCGGAGAGTTCCCAGTACTCCTAGGCACTGATGATGACAACCCACCCCAGCCCAGCCTGGCTCATTGGCAGGATTTGGAAGGGCAGACTGGGGCCAGGGATTTTTTCCACTTAGCTCCTGTTGACCCTGCAAGCCAAAGCCCGAACAGATATGGTGGGCTTAGCTGGACAAGTAGCGGGAAGCTTGCAAGAATGTATTTTCACTGGCAAGCTATATAGTTTTAGCAGGTTAGACTCCAGCATTTACACCAACTCACACTCTGGAGTCCCTGAGCATTCGTTCCTGCGAACCTGTGCCTAATTCAGGAATTAGGTAAGCAGGGTGCATCCCTCCATGGAGTGACTATGCATTCCATTCCAGACACAGGGTGGCAGATATGGAATTGTCTGGTTTGGAAACTTTTAGGCACAGTGATGGGTTTCCGTGTGTGCTGAACACTGGCTGACCAAAACCAAATCATGAAGAACATTGTAACTGAAGTGAGAAGTCACATCCTGTGAGATCGGGGCTGTCTATGATTTTGTATTGGTATAGTGTCAATGTGATAAGCTGTAACTCACCCTTGCACAGCCAAGAGGATACCCCAGTATTTCAGCTCCGTAAACCTTGCTTCCATTAATGACTGTCACTGGCCGCCATCTTCCTGCAAGAAGACCCCCCCAACGGCCCCCCGACTAAGCCCTTCAGCCCACCTGGTTTCATTCCAGAGACACTTGTGAGCATTGATCAGTAGGGATTCTGTCTTTGTCTCCTTCAACGGCTTGTGCTGGTATTATATGACTACCCTAAGTCAGCCTGCTGGTAGTAATTTACCACTTTACGCATTGAGCCACACGTCAACACATCAGTACAAGGTGAGACATTTCTCCTTCCTGGTATCCTGGCCAACAATCCCAAGATTCAACTGTACACTCACTCCGTGGCTGTTTTGGGGACATTTCTGCTCGCAAACATGCTGCTGCTTTCATCCACAAATACACAATCACTGCACTTTAGAGTAAATCATCCAGAAGGCTTTGAGACATCTCAAAATAAAAGGTGCTGAATCAAATGCAAGGATTACAGTAAACTCGTGATAATTTATTACTACAAGCTAAAAGGGTTCAGTGACGAGTGGCAAGTTAGGCACATGTATAAATAAATAATTAAGTGTAGCTGGGATATTGGCAGCATGATGAATTAAGTGGTAGTGAGAAGTTAAGCCAGTATTGAGTTATCAGGAGTTAACTGTACAATATATATTTTTATAGCTACGACTTTCATGTTGAGGTTAAAAAGGGCTAAAATTTAAAGGCAAAAGTGTTATTAAATGGTTTCGGATGTTAGAACCGAATAACAGTGAAAGGAATAACAATAAAGCTTGCATTTAATAAAGCGCCTTTCATCGCTAGGAGACATTTCCAAATATTTCACAGTAGTGATAGTAGAGACTGTGTATTTTGTAGGTGAACAATGTAGCTATTTTGTGCACAGTCCCACAAATGGTCATGAAGCAAATGACCAATCCATTTTTAACTAAATCTTTCCATTGTCAAAGCTGAAGTTAAGTTGGCGATGTAACATTTTCCTCCTGTTTTACTGTTGCAATTCAACTGTCTGTGGGTGACTTAAGACTGGTTAGGAGCACGTGTTCAGCCTTCTGATCACAAACTCATTTCACTAAAATAGAAACAAAGAAACTTGCATTGTTAATAATAATAAATCTTGTGTTTGGCATAACGACTTTCACATCAGGAGGAGGTCTCAAAGAGCTGCGCAGGATATACTAAAAAAAAGTAGTGAGCATTTGTTGCCTACAGCAGTCAATTTGTGCACAGCAACATCCCACAAACAGCCACGAGTGAGTGACTTATTTTATCTGGGGGACTGTCAGCCAAGATATCGGGGGAGAGAAAGTCCCTTCTCTTTTCCTAATGGGCGGTCAGATGTTGAACGATCCCCCGGGTGCCTCAATTTAACATCTGACCAGAAGGACAGCACCTGGGACACTTGGTATCAACCTGGACTGTGAGCTCAAATCCTTGCAGGCGAAAAGAACACAAGTCCGAATGTTGTTGGTTCACATGGGGACTTTGAGCTAATTTAGTCCGGACTGACACTGTTGGGGGAGTGTGGCCATTGCCAGTGGTGCCGACCTTCAGATGAGATGTTAAACCCAGGTCCCACCTGTGCCTTTTCGGATGGATGTTAAGTATCCTGTGGCACTACAGGAATTTCTCTTTCCCGGTGTCCTGGCCAACAATCCTCACAGATAAAGTCGGTCACTCACCTCACGTCAGTTGTGGGGACGTCGCTGTGCGCAAACCGTTCGCCCACAAAATACGCCATCGCTACCCTTCACAGTAAAAGCGCTTTTGAGACATCTCAATGAGACACTTATATCAAATCCCAGGATTACTTATACCTCAGTTGAGATGTTTACAGGATTCCTATAAAATTTACCTCCAGGTAGGGAATGATCTTGCAGGAGAAATCGCCGAGCAGCCACTTTTTGGTCAGCTCGTGGAATATAACCAGAGGCAAACAGAAGAAAATGATGGTGAAGTCCCAGAGCGCCAGGTTGGCCAGGAGCGAGTTGGAGATGCTCCTCATGTAGAGGTTGTGGTAGACGATGCACATGACCGAGAGGTTGGCGGCGATGCCGATCGCGAATATGACGATGGAGAGACACATCACAGCATAGGCTCCGTACGACTCCTCGGTCACCGGGTAGAAGGGGTTTCGGAGCTGCTGTCTCCGCCCCGGAGCCTGGGCGGGGAGCACGGCTGCGGCTGCCGTCGCCTCCATCCCCAGAGCACTGGAGCTGTGGCTGTGGCTCTGGTTGTGCGGTTGTTCGGCGTTGCCCCGGGTGCCCAGGGAAGCATTGGCACAGGCTCCCCCCGTCTGGGGGGCGCCCATGCAGTTGTGCCACCCAGAGCCAGTGCCTGGGACCCCGCCATCCTGCCCGGTCGCCTCTCGCCTGTGCCTGTGCCTGTGCCTGTGCCTGTGCCTGGCCGCCCGCCCGGTCCCGCTGTCCTGTCGGTGCGCGGTTGAGTCGCCATCCAACACCTTCACCCCCTGTGGGATGCCATCAGTGCCCACTCTGACACTCTGCCCATCCCCTCGCCGGTCCACCGGCTTCCCCCGCGGCCGCTCACCGCTGACAGGCGCCCCGCGGCTCTGCTCTGCCCCCCCCGGGGAGGGGCTCAGCCCCATCCCCGCCTGGGCACTGCCAGTCCTGCCAGCGATGCCAGCCCGCGTGCCTCCGAGCCCCAGGTGCCCCGCTCCATCGCTCACCTGCCGGGCGCTGCCTTGTGCGCGCACCGCGCCGGCCGCACAGAGGGCAAGAGCGAGCAGGCAGCAGCGCATGGTCCGGCCCGGCCCTGCCCGGCAGCCCGGCCCGGCAGCCCTGCCCGGCCTCACACGGCAGCCGCCTTCCCGGCCATATCACAGTGAGGAGCAGTGAGTGAGCGCGGAGTGTCCCCGCCCCGCGGGGCGGCAGTGGCTGAGGCGGGAGGAGGGCGGCAGCTGAAGGCGGGGGGTGTGGTGGGGGCTGTCCAGGTGCCCCCGCGGGCGGGGTAAGTTTGCGGGTGGTGGCCGGAGGCGGGGCAGCGGGGAGTCTGCCCTGTCCCTGCGCTTCTCTGCCGGTGCCTCGTCAGCCGCGGGTCCCCTCCCCTCCCGCCTCAGCCTCAGCCTCAGCCTCAGCCGCCGGGGCAGCGCCTCCCGCTCTCCCCTCGCGCTGCCGGTGACTGAGCGTAAAGTTCCCCCTCAACCCCGAGCCCTCCCCGGGCGGGTGCTGGTGCCGGGCGGGTGCTGGTGCCGGGCGGGTGCTGGTGCCGGGCGGGTGCGGGTCCCGGGCGGGTGCGGGTCCCGGGCGGGTGCTGGTCCCGGGCGGGTGCGGGTCCCGGGCGGGTGCGGGTCCCGGGCGGGTGCGGGTCCCGGGCGAAGGAAGGCAGCAGAGCTGGTGGGATGATTAGAGCCGGACGGGCAGGTGTCTGTGTGTGTCTGTCCGTGTGTGTGTGTCTGTCTGTCTGTGTGTCTGTCTGTCTGTGTGTGTGTGTGTGTCTGTCTGTCTCTGTGTGTGTCTGTCTGTGTGTGTCTGTCTGTCTGTGTGTGTCTATCTGTCTGTCTGTCTGTCTGTGTGTGTCTATCTGTCTGTCTGTCTGTCTGTGTGTGTCTGTCTGTCTGTGTGTGTGTGTGTGTGTGTGTGTGTGAGAGAGCTCCGAGTTGCTGTGGTGACGGACGGGAATCTCGGATCTGTCACAAACCATCGACATCGGGAGCAACAACCGGGAGGGAGTTACCCCCAGAGAGCGGCTCAGTCCCCATCGCGGGCGGACTCTCTCCACAGACCTCCTCAACAGTCAGTCAGTCAGTCACCAGCCTGGGGTTCAGCCGCTGTCCCTCCCATCACTTTGATCAGACAGACTTCGTACTGACCCCAAAGCTTTTTATGTAGTGATGTGAATCTCCTCTCCTCCTCCCTCCCTCCCTCTCTCTCTCTCCCCTCCCTCCCTCCCTCCCTCTCTCTCTCTCCCCTCCCTCCCTCCCTCCCTCTCCTCACACACAAAAAAAAACTCTTCTGCTCAGTATTGCTGAGTGCAAACCGGCTGTGGAGGTCTGTGCTGCCTGTGCCAACCAAGCTCAGCGGGCAGCGCTCAGCGGGCAGCGCTCAGCGGGCAGCGCTCAGCGGGCAGCGCTCAGCGGGCAGCGCTCTGCGGGCAGCGCTCTGCGGGCAGCGCTCTGCGGGCAGCGCTCTGCCCTCTGAGTCAGAAGGTTGTTGGGTTCCAGCCCCCGCATCAGGAATTGGACCCGGCGATGGTCCTCACTGATACTCCAGGGCAATGCTGGAGATGCACTGCATTGTTTGTGGGTCTTCGCTGTGCACACATCGGCTTCCACCCCCACCAACTGACACACAGTCACGGTATATCCTGTAAAGTGCTTTGAGACATTCTCCTGACATGAAAGGCACTGGATCAAATGTAAGGATTGCTATTATAAAATCGTTTCTCGTCGCAGGTTGGGTAGTGTTACTGGTACTGACTGCGCAAAACGTTGGGCAAGTTTCCTTACTCCACACTATTTACCTAGCAGGTTGTTAGTCAATTGCAGGATCGCTTTTCCAGGGTAATAATCCCTTCCAAAATAATAATGATGATGATAATAATAATTTGGTCACTCAATCAACGATTGTTTGTGGGACACTGCTGTGCGCAATTGGCTGATGTGTTTCGCCCAGAAAATATACAGTCAATTCACGTTACAGTTTATTCTGTGAAGCACTCTGAGACATCTTGAAGACTTGATAATGGCGCTATATCAAATGCAATGATTTTTATTATATTTCCCTCTCTCCTTGTTAAATGTCTTGTGTTCAACCTCAGCCAACATGAAGTCACTTGCCCTGAGTGAACTCAGTCATCTCCAACCTGGGAGCAGAGCACTGGGCTGAAAGTGTGCAGACAGCTCCCTCAAGTGCACAGAACGCTTCCTACAGCAGAAAAATACATTGGGTTCCACTCAGTGCTTCTGTTCACACTGAAACGTGAAGACACAGCTTTGTGACTCAAAATCAGGACAGTCAGTAAGAAAGCAATGGAGACAGAAGTCATCCCGGATACTCAGCAGGTCAGGCAGCATCTATAGAGAAGGGAAAGTGAGTCAACGTTTCAGGCCCACGACCCTTCGTCAGAACTGCGGCATGTTGTGAAGGAGAGGCTTTTAAGGGCTAACAGATAGTGGGAGCGGTAGGGCAAGGAAGACAAAGAGAAAATAGGGTAGAGGACAGGGCATGATGGTTCCACCTTCCACCCCTCCATAACATTAACATGGTCCACCTCCGACTCTTCCCTTCCTCGACTTCACCATTTCCATCTCGGGGCATAGATTATTAACAGATATCTTTTACAAGCCCACTAACTCCCACTTTAGATTCCATTTTACATATTAATAATCCTTACATTTGGTAAAGCGCCTTTAATATCAGAAGAATGTTCTAAAGTCCAGTGACTGTTTTGTGGGAAAATATTGTTGGCTTCTTGCTTTGTACCCAAATGTTTGTCCATCAGCAAAGGAGAACACTTCCCTCCAAGACATTGTTCTGCCTCATGGTAAATTGAATGCTGATGATGCTGATGCTGTGCTCAAGTTCACACAAGTTGGAGTGACAAAATAAATACCTTCTTTCAACTGATGTTTACGATTCATTCCAAAGGTGAATACAAATTCCTCTTTGTATGGCAGTGAGCACCAAGTCACGATTCTCATTTAATGTGAAGAAAAAGTTACATTTTGCACAGTCTGGTGAGCCAGCAGAAAGTACAAAAGCAGAGAACATGATTTATCGTATTTCATGGGGTTAGTGTTGCTTCTAAGATTTCTAATAATTCAATACAAAATGTAACATCGAGTCAGCAAGCAAATCAACAGTTCATTATGCATGCAGAAATATTATTAATTAATTCAGAATTTTCAGCATGCCCAGCCTTAATGAAAATTCTCAACAAATTATTATTATTTTTAAATAAGTTATTCAGCCCAAACCCCTCTTTCACTTCCTTACCATTCTGTAGCCCGCTCACTGTGGTAATGAGCGATGAAGTAACTACAAGCTTTTGACTTTTAGTACTTGGGGTAACAGATCACACTCCACAACATTATGTCAAAACAAATCCTGGGAAGGCAAGTGATATGGAAGGAGCAACGTAGAAAAAGAAAGTATTTTGGTTGATCTTAAGCTGTTTTTCTGGAAAACTGTACCAGTCTTCTTAGATTCTCATCTTTACCACATTCACACTTGGTTATTAATAGCCTGCTCACTCGACACCCCAGTTGCTCCCATCACAAGCTGCGGACCATCCAGAACAATAATAATAACTTGCATTTGATATAGCGACTTCACACGTCGTTGAGACGGCTCAAAGCAATTTATAGAATATACTATCAAGTGGATTGACTGTATATTTTGTGGGCAAAATGTGGTAGCCAATTGCAAGTGTCCCACAAAGAGTCTGGATTGAGTGACCACATTTTTCCACCAATCGACTAACAGCCAATCCCTCAGTTATTGCTTGATAAACAGGCGGGTGGAATAAAGAAACTTGCCTAAGGTTTCACCCCCAACTGGGAATCAAACCTAGGTCCTCTCATTTGGGAGGCGAGCACGTAAACAGTGCTTTATGGGACACCACAATGTCCTCTTCCAGGCCGGGTCCATCACTTGGAGCAGGGTGTGTGCCAAAAGAGAATTCAATGTGATTGAAGCAGAAAGCACCAATATATTTGAAGAAACTCAATGCACACGTGACAGAAAAGAGAATGTAGGCCTGTGGCTAAGGAAAGGTGGACACTCGTGCAGTCCAACAACAACAACAACAAAAATTACATTTGTATAGTGCCTTTCACGTTGGGAGGATGTCCCAAGGCGCTGGACAGACAGAGTTTCGGATCTGAGCTGGGGGTCAGTGTCGGGGAGGGTGGAGAGCAGGGGGGGAAGCAGGGAGATTGAAAGCACGGTCGAAGAGGAGGGTCTTGAGATGGGTCTTGAGGGAGGCAAGGGAATGGGCAAGATAGAGGGAATGCTAGATGGAGTTCCAGAGGGTCGGGGCAGAGTGACAGAAGCCAATAGTGGGGCCAGCGAGGCGGGGGATGTGAAGCAGGCCAGAGCCCACCAAGCGGAGGGAGCGAGCAGGATGGTGGGGGGTTAGCATGTCGCAGAGGTAGGGGGAGCAAATCCAAACACCCAAGACAAACAAGTTGGGTTGAATGGCCTGTTTTAGCAATGAATGGTTTTAAAAATGTTATATATACAGTATAATATTTCATCCTGTTGGACTGGCTTGCTGCTCTTGCTGCAGTTGTCAGATCCTATGCTGTGTAGTTTTAGCCGGTTAGACTCCAACAGTACCCCAACAAAGCCTTGGCTCTTGTCGACCTGCGCCTAATACTTTCTGGAATTAGGTAAGCAGGATGTGTCCCTCCAGGGAGAGAGTGTGCATTCCACTCCAACAATCTCTCTGGGATTCCCATGTGTAGGTGGGATGTATGGAAATCTCAGCGAATGTTGACCAAAATAAATAACTGGCTTTTCTGCGCCCTCTGTTGGTGCTGATTTACTATGTCCCACTGACTGGTTTACTTAGTTCTGCTGTAGGTAGAGCTGGGAGGGACTTGCATTCACTACACCGGTACTTCACTGAGATGCTAAAGTGCTTCCAATACAAAAAGGAGCCCTTCAATCAAAGTCAGTCAGCATCTTGAAGCTTTGACATTTTATACTCTGACTGTCCAGCGTCTTGGAGACAAGGTACCTGTAAGAAATGAAAAGAAATCTTTTCTTGACTCATTCCTCTCAA